AAGCATTCTGTGGCTTTGGTTCTTGTCTTTGTTGTCTTTATTTTATTGTTTTACTTGGCATGTTCACAAACAGGTAAATTTCCTGCTAGGAGAAAGGTGTGTTTATCAGAATTCAGCGTGCGACTAGGCCCTCTTGCAGATGGAAATTTGGGCAGTAGGACAGTGTTTCTCATTCTTGGCAACTTTAAGATGTATGGACTTCAACTCCCAGAATTTTGGGAGTTGAAGTTTGCACATCTTAAAAGTTGCCAAGGTTGAAAAACCCTGAATTAGAGATTTTCCTAAGAAAACCTGCTTGTGTGCTACCAGCATGCTCTGGTCAAAAGAGGAATTGTGTTGGAATTCAAACCTTCCTCTTTGTGTGAAATAGAACAATCCAGGACCTGATCAGCTCAGAGCTGTACTATTGCAGGGGTGGAGAAATAGAAGTCCTCCAGACCTTGCTAAACTAAATCTCTCACCAATTCCATTTCTTGTGGGAGAGGGAGAAGCAGGGAGAGGGAGAGAGACAGAGATACTGGAGGTTATAACAGCAACCTTTTTGAGGAGCACAGCTTTTCCATTTTTTTTACTACAGTATCAATAAGATGCCTGAATGTTTTTGATGATAGTCTTCTGTTTGACGGTAATCTTGATTTTCAGGCTGGTCACTTCAGGACTAGGTTTGGGCAACATAATACATCTATTGAATATATATGGGATACATCAGGTTGGATAAGCACTATTTAGCATGTTTTTACCCTGCTTTGCAGCAAAGATTCCATTTTTATAAGGCTGATGGTAGCTCAGGAATTCTGGGAGCTGAAGTCCACAGGTCATAAAGGGGCTACGGTTGCCCACCCCTTCATTGAAATATTAGATTGTCTATGGAAAGCAAATGTAAAACTCAGGTACGGTACTTGATGGCAGTCTTTTTCAGCATGGGATATGCTGTGCATTTGGATGATACTTTAAATTCCATGAAAGGATTTGTTATATCTGCACCTTGTAAAAACCTCGGTGGGTAAACTCACAAACATGGTTCTTTTTTTATTGTTTGTCTCAAAGGTGCTTTTTCAAAAGGCAACTGGACTTTGTTTTTCCTTGAAGATGTTTCACTTCTCATCCAAGAAGCTTTTTCAGTTCTTTTTATTGTTTATTAAGGAGTTATGAAATATAATAATAATAATAATAATGATGATGATGATGATGTTGGAAGGGACCTTGGAGGTCATTGATGTATACATCTAACTCTATACGATCAGAAATAAAGCTGGAAGCAGCTGTAAACAAGGGTATTTCTGGGAGGATAAAAAAAAGTCAAGATGGCACCTATGACAATAGATGCCCCGCCCCTTTTGACAAGAAGGGTGGGGCTTGAGTGACATGGCTGCAGTCACTACCTTGGCTTTTTTTTGAACCTGCCCCTGCCTAGAAGCACCTGCTTCTAAATAATTTCCAATCTGTATGACAGGCCCAGTTTATTTGAACAACAAAAATACGTTGGCAATTTGGACTTTTTAGGAGGAGCTCCTTGAGCTATGAAGAAAGAGATTAGACTGATCCCTTCTTTGTTATAATTTAGCCAGGGAACAACCTACAACCTACTTCACAGAGTTATTTATGACATTTCCTGTTCTTTTATTTTACTCTGATCTGGTTTTATTGTGTTGAACTTTTTAAATGTCTTTTTTTAATGAGTAGATTTATCAGCTTCTTTCTCATTTGTTTTTATATTGTCATGCTTAGGTCATGGACAGGGTTTTTGTACATTAAATAGAAAGCAGTTCGTTATGTTGTTATTAGATGTATAAAAGGCAAAGGTAAAGGTTTCCTGTCCAGTTGTCTCCGACTCTAGGGTGCAGTGCTCATCTCTTGTTTCTTGGCCAAAGAACAGGGTTATCCAAAGACATTTTCCATGGTCATGTGGCCAGCATGACTATATGCTGAGGCTCACGGAACACTGTTATCTTCCCACTGGAGTGGTACCTATTTACCTATTCACATTGGCATGCTTTCACAATGCCAGGTGGGCAGGAGCTGAGGCAAGGAACGGGAGCTCACCCCACTGCACAGCGTTTGGGTCTCAAACCTGGGCTGTCAGCTTTCCAGCTGAGCCATCACCCCCCCCATTAGATTTATACCCTGTCTTTATTCTTTATATTGCAAGGTGGCATGCATTATGCCCCCTTCTCCTATTTTCTCCACAACAGTATCCCTGCAAGTTGGGTTGGATAGAAATCTCTTCACAGTCTGAAGCTATGAGAAGCATTTTGAAATTACTGACGTAACTCTCAGTCACTTTTTGTGTTTTATGGAGTGACTATTTAGTGAGGAAAATGCACTCTGCATGTGTTCAAATGCATTCTCCCCCCCCTTCTTGCTTTCTATATATTCTTCCACTATATGTGAAAAATATAAGAGATGACTTCGATACTTACCTTCTGTTTAAGCAACTGAATTTGGAAAAGCGGTCTGGTTTCTAAGCTCTGAGCTCCTGAATGAAAAGTGGACTATAAAACAAACAAACAAACAAATAAATATGTTGAGTAGGTTGACAGAGCGGGCACCATTCTCTCTCTTTTGCTGTGTTGTACCCCAAATTGCAGTATCTTCCGTGCCTACTTCTTTATTGGTTTCTGATAGAGGAGAATATTTGTTGCTATTGTAGCACTGATGATGTTACCTAATTTGGATAATGAAACGTCTGCAAGAAAACAATCAAGGACCCCTTATTTGGTTTCTGTTTTATAACTTGTTTCCTCTATTACGATCTTTTTGTTTTAACCAGTATGTCTTTGTAACCAGTACATCGTGATTTTTTGCAGCTGAGCATGGCTTAGAATGGGAAAATGACTCATCAGGGTTTCTTTTTTTCTAAAGACGAAATGAAATTCCAGTGGTGACATTTCAGATGGCCCATGCCATGCCACAATGAGCAAAGTGGGCAAAAGAAGAATGTGTTTGGCTACTAGGTTATTTACAATCAAACATTAGCAAAGCATTAATGAGCATTCCCATTATCAAAGCGCCTATCTAGGATTTAGTCAGTTCCTCTGTGCTTAAAACATGGACATCTCAACTTCGGACTAATTTAGCAAGCTATCCAGAGATTTCATGGCCCTTCAGTCTGGCACCTTCTAAATAATAATAATAATGATGATGATGATGATGATGATGATGATGATGATGATAAAGTTGGAAGGGACCTTGGAGGTCATCTAGTCCAACCGCCTGCTCAGGCAGAAAACCCTATACCATTTCAGACAAATGGCTGTCCAGTTTCTTCTTAAAAACTTCCAGTGTTGGCACATTAATGATGGACATTATTCTGGGTGAGGGGGGGGACTTATTTATTTATATCCCAAATTTAGAAATGCCCATTTTGCCCCCCGAGTGATTCTATGCAACATACAAATAAAATAAAAAAAATTTAAAAGCTGAACTATTTTATCCCATAAATTGGTTCTAACTTTGTTGTCGCTGGTTCTTCTTTAAAAAAAAAAACATATCCCGTTGCATTGACCCAGATTCAAGAGAGATAGAAAAGCTTCAGACCCGGGCAGATATTTTCTTTATATTTCCCTATATAGGACCATTTTATGGGATAAAAATCCTGTAAGGGTAGGGGAGCTATTTTGTTTACTGTACATATAAAAGTGATAAGAGAATGCTTCTATATTCCATCTGTTTATTTAATTTGCATACCACTCCATTATTTTTACAAATAACTCAAGGCGGCAAACATATCCAAAACACCTTTCTCCACTTATTTGCCTACAACAAAAACTTTGTGAGGTGGATTGGGCTGAGAGAGAGGGACTGGCCCAAAGTCACTCAGCTGGCTTTCATGGCAGGACTTGAACTTGTGGCCTCCTGGCAACTGGCCCAAAGTCACCCTCACTGCTTTATTGCCACAGTTGCTAAGTGAATCACTGCAGGTGTTAAGTTAGTAGCATGGTTGTTAAGTAAATCTGGCTTCCCTTATTAACCCGGCTTGTCAGAAGGTCACCAAAGGTGGGAAACACATGAACCTGGCTCTCTGCAACCATCATAAATAAATGCCACTTGCCGAGCATCTGAATTTTGATCACGTGACCGTGGGGATGCTGCAATGGTCCTAAGTGTGAAAAACGGTCATAAGTCACTTTTTTCGGTGCCTTTAAATGGCTGTAAGTCAAGGACTTTATGATTATTAGACAAATTGTTGTCTAATAAGTACTCAGTTTGCTGGTGGTTGCAGAGCTCCAGAAGATGGGTCTCCTCCATTCTCCTCCAGCCTCTGTCTCAGGATTGCAGTTTGATTGGCAGCCCTGCCCTGCTGATGCTGAGGGAAATGCTTAAGGGGGGGTGGTAAGAAGGAAGCTCATCAGCCTGCAATTTTTTTCAAGCTGCCCATTTTTCCACCCCTGCATTTCACTCTTAGGGCCAAGTAGCCATCCTGAACGTTGGAACGTAGCATCTGGAAGGGATTTCAACCATGGAGATACACATTTCTTTTGGGACGTCTTTGATGCCTTTACGCTCCCATGGAGAGGGTGTTAATTAGCCCGTTGAGCCCATTGAGAATTTGGATTTCATTGTTAGGGTGCTCTCACAATAGGGTGCCATGGAAAGGATGTCCAATCACAAACAACCCGTTTATTGAAAGCAAATTAGCGAGATTGCTCACTGTCTCTTCAGTGAATGAATGTTGAATGTTCTCTGTTAATTCAGCCTATTTTGGGTTTTTTTTCCTGATCCTTCCACACAAGCCATTAGATTTGTTTTTAGAAGAGACCCAGAAGCATCTTTGAACATGAAGATTATCTTTAAAGCTGCCCCCTCATTATGCCTGTTTTGTTGCTGCTGTTGCTGTTATGTTTAAGTAAGGTTCAAGGAAATCGGAGAGAGGAAAGAATCTGTCAGGCTCCAAGGAAAATGACATAGAATATCTGGGTGGTGGCATGCTGGGTGGGGACCCGGGCCTAACCTTTTGCTTTCCTTTTCTCCCACCCTACCCCACCCCACCCCAACTCCAGCTCTTATAAAACCAGAGGAGCCTCTGGGGAAGGCAACCACGAGCAGCTCCAGCCTCGAAGTGGGGCTGACACTGACAGAGACCTGCTTTGCCCTCATCCCAGCATGGAGAAGGTTGCCGGCAATTCACGTTCCCATCAAGGCAAGCCGGAAGGTCATGCCTCAAGCCCTTCTGTGCGACGCAAGAAAAACCCTCCAGACTGTCTCAAGAAAATGCCCTTCGGCAAAGTGTCGGCAGCCTCCCAGAGGGTCGAGGGAGGAGGCACCAGGGCCAGCAGCCCCTCTAAAGTGTCCAAGCTGCTTGAGGCCTGGGAGAAAGGACTTGTGGGGATGGACACCACTGGCCCAGCTCCTTCCTCTGAAACCAGGCCCTCCCATTCTCCCGCATCTACCAGGCGCTTACTTCCACCCCCAGAGGGGGCCCACTCTTCTCACTCCACCAATTCCAGGGATTCTTTTCCACCATCCAACGTGGCTTCCGCTCATGCCAAGCGATGCCTTTCTCCAACAGGGAAAAGGAAATCTCCTTTTTTGGAGGAGGCCAGGCATGCCCATTCTCCTGATCCTTGGCGTCCTTCTGGGCCAGCAACAGAAAACCGGAGGTCCCGGTCTCCAGCAGAGAAGAAGCAGCCTCCCACCCCAGCAGCAAAACCACAGTTTCCTCCCCCACTCAGGGCCAAGCCAACACAAGTGCCCCCCTTGCCGACAGGTACCCGCTCACATTCTCCAGTTGGGAGGAAAGATATACCTCCCAGAAGAGAGAACCATTCCTCCTCATCCCTGGATGATACCCAGCATTCATCCTCCTTGGCAGGAAACAGAATCTCCTATTCTGTGGCAGATATGAGGCGTTTGTATTCTGGAGGAAGCACCACACAGCCGTCTTCTTCAGCTTCTTCAGCAGTGGACACCAGACGGGCATTCGCCCAAGCAGAGAGCAGGAGCAAGTCTCCCTCATCCAATGACAGGAGTTCACCTTCCCCCAAAGTTCCAAAATGTTCCTCACCTTCCTCGGACATCAAGAATCCACTCCCTCCACCTGACAATGAATGGTTTTCCTCCCCTTCGGATGCCAGGTGCCCTTCCCTGGCAGAGATCCACTCCCTGCCTCCTCCACCAGATGCCCTACTCGTGTCCTTATCCCCAGCAGATGCTGGGGCCTCCCCTTCCCCCGTGCACTCCAGAAACCTCTCTCCCACAGCAATGGAGGGACACTGTTCTCCCAGCCCACAGAGAAATTTTACTGCTCATGGGCCCATCTTTGCTCAAGTATATTCCCGACTTCCCAAGCCGAAGAGCCCAGTGAACAAAGATGACACCGGTACCAGAGTTACTGAATCACCGGGAGCCACACACTCTCCTGCTGCTGTTCACAATCCTGGCAAGGCTGGATCCCAGAAAGAGAACCATGCCACAAACACTAATAGGCTGCAGGAGCAGAATCTAGGCCTTTCTCGTGACAGCTTGAATGAAACCGTCTCCCAGAAGGAAGGACATATGCTAAATGGGAATGGCTCCAAGTTGGACGCTGGATCCCTGAAGGAAAGCAACTTGCCTGGTGCTTTTGCACTTCAATCCTCAAGGGAAAGTTCTCCCAGCACCTTCCACTCTATTTCATTCTCTGCATCCCCGGGGAGAAATTACACATCCTCTGCCCCGAACCCTGCATTTTCTGAGGAACCCTATGTGTTCAAGCCAGTCCCTCAGGTTACGTGTTCCAGCACTGTAGCCAAATCCCATGCCCAATGGCACAGGCCCAAGGGGAGCAGCACAGTTGTTTTTAGAGCCCAACAGCAAGTTATTGTGCCTCAGCCCGGATGCTCCACTGTTTACCAAGTCGGGCGAGAGCTTGTTATGTCTGCCCCTGGGTCAGGAAAGACCAGCCAGGGCCAGCAAGAGAAACCCCTTGCTTCTTCCTCCATCAATTGCATTCCACTGGAAGAAACCTGGCCATCTTGGGCCAATCTCCCTAATGCCAAGTCCCCTCAAAGAGTTCACTCCTCCTTCCCCAAATCTTGCATCTTCTCCACACCAGAGTCACAGCCTGAGAATGGCCTGACTCACTCTCAAAATACCAAGGTGAGGGATGCCCAGAGGCCAAGGTGTGCACCTGTGCCGAGCCCTGATCGCACTTCAAACAGAGAGGCTGCTATAGCCAGGGAGGGAGTAGTTCCATGCAGCACAGCCCAGAGAGACGGCAGCCTGCCCAGCAATTCTGCCTCCCAGAAGCACAGCAACCTGTTGGCAAGAAGCAAGTCTGAACAGAAGCAAGGCATGCCCACCGCAGAAGGCCTAATAACAAGCGGGTCAGATCAAGACAGCAGCTGGTTAGGCGTGGGAAAAGCCATCTTATCTGCCAACAGAAGGAATAAGTGCCCCTTGGACCCCGCAGAGGAAATTGGAATCTCTGCTGCATTGCAGCAAACGTCTCCAGGGAATCTTAAAGCCAGAACACAGGATGATGGACTAAAGAAAGAAAACCAGATTTCAAGCAAGGGTCCCCTGATATTTGCACTGGAACAAGAGAGTTCCCCTTCCCTTTCATGGCCCGAACCCCCAAGTGACTTATTAAGAAGCACCAGCCAGACAGGAGAACAGGAACCCGAGGAAGCGGGGGAAATGGAGCATTTTGTAGACACCCTCCGCAACATGGACCCTGCTGAACGCCGGAAGCCCTCAAAAGCCCTCTCGAGGGCTCCACGCCCTTCCACTCTTGCCAAGCACACCGTCCTTCCACCCATCGATGAGAACCACATCACTCCCAAGGCAAAGGTTCATTTCCCAACAGCATTGGGTGAATTGTTTCCTCTCACCGAGGAGAACTCAGAGGAAGGAACGGGATCCAAGGGGGAGGAGCCAGGATTGGCAGAAGAAGACACCGAGGAGATTGAGAACCCTTATCTCACTAAAGAAGAGAAATCATGGGAGAGCAAGGTAGGCAGGAGATCTTCCTCTTGGGAAAGCCAGCAGTCCAAGACTGAGGAAAACCTTGGGCCTTTTCTTGGAAAGTTCCAGCAAAGCCTAGGAGATAGCAAGGCGAGTGTTATTGCCCCCAGAGCTATTGTGAATCCGCCCACCTTGACTAGAACCAATGTTCTCTCAGGGATGTCTCTCTTGTCCAACTTTGTAGACAGAAAGGTTGTGGAAGACAAGCCTTATTCTCGCTTGGACAACAGCTTTCTTTACAGCAAGTTCATCTCCCCAGAAAAGGCTGAACACAAGGGCCTAACAAAAAGGAAGGAAATGAGCCCAGTTATCCAGAAAATCAGCAGGGAGTGCCAGAGACCTCCGAATGCACATCAGGAAGATGGGGCTCATAGGGGGTTACCACGAACTGCTCTCCATCCTGGGCACCACCTCAAAGCACCAGATACCAGTGGTTATTCCAAGCAGGTTATCCTTCTCTCCAAGGAAGCAGAAACCTTGACGCAGTCAGAAATTCAGGTGAGTGAACTGTTGCTGGGTACCATGAAGTCCAGGTCAAGTGGACTTTAATGTAACTGTTCTCAAGCTTGTGCCCGCGTAATGTCTTAGGCTTTCACTTGCATTATTATTATGTGTTCTTTGGGGATTATGGGAGTTGAAGTCTAAGGCATCTGGAGAGCCCTGGGTTAAGGAAACCTGAATGATGACAACTGTGATACGGTGTTTTGCCAAGTGCCAGTGCAGTGATCAGATGCCCAGACAATTGGTTCTTTTGGGTCTAGAGACAATAAGCGCAACACTAAATAAAAGGACTTCAAGCTTTATTATTAGCTCATGAAAAGATATTTAAAAGCCTAACATAAAAAGCATACATACCCAAGCAAGATGACACCCAAATTGTTTACAAGCTGCCAGGAGCTCATTAATAGCTACAGTAAAGAGTGGACAGTTTCCACAGTATCCCTAGTGCTAGGTTCTATGCAGAAGGACTGGATGGCATATGACTTTAGGATGAGAATGGAAAGTCTGAGACTTTTAACAGTAAGAAAAGTTTGCAGCTACATGAAGATCCCCCCCCACCTTCTCCTTTATTCAAAAACAAGAGTAAAAAGCAAGTTAGCTCAGAATGAGTTCTAAACCTCCAGACTTTTCTTAATAGGAAGGAGAAATCAAAATAATGTCACTAAATTCCTTGGAATAACAATGGTCTTCCAAATTGCCACTAGTTATGGTCTCTTGCTCTTGTGTGTTCAAGAGCCGGGCTGTTTGGACTCTTTCTGAGTCTGTAATGTGAAAAAGAGCATTGTACCATTTTGCACCCAGATGAGTTATAGTCTCCAGCTTCAGCCAGTTGTAGAACTGGTGGCAAAGCTTAAGTTCAAAAAGATGGTTACAGGACCAAACCCATCACTTGCTCAGTTGCACAGCACTTATAGAAACCACTTGAATGCTGTGCCTGAACGAAGGTCATTATGTACAATCTTTAAGTGGGATGGCTACAGAGTCAGTGATGCTCATTAAAGAAATTGAAAAGTGGTCATCTTAGACAGGAGCAGAGATACGATAAGTGTGCATGATGAAAACATCGCAATATTCAATTTTGGAGACCTGAATTCTCACCTCGAACTACAATTGTAACGAGAAGTCCCCTTTCATTCATTGATGTACATGCCCGATTCCCACCCACCCCGTTTTTTCCTTTATGATTAAATAAGAATTTTCAATGGTGAAAAGAACAAGAGACTCAGATGTTTATGAAATGTAAAGCTTTATCTTGGGCCATTGCAACCTGACAGTTTCACAACAGCCTCCTTTATGGAGCACAAGGCACAGGTTCCGACTCGTTTTCCCATCCCCCACTCCCAATTTCTTTTATGTCGGGTCCCTTGAGCAATCTGGATTTCCATGCAGGGCTGGGTGCACAATGTTTCAGAGCTGTGGTGGTACTTTCAGAGAAAGAGGAATGCTCCTTATGCAAGCAAGAATGCATTAAGTCAGAGAACTTTCTATTGGCGTTGTGAAACTGACTTCACTAGATTATGACACTGACGAGATGAGTTCTTTGATAAGATTGGCTTGCAAAATTGATTACTGCAGAACATGATTCAGGGGCCGAGGAGAAGATGGGGAGAATGGACTGTCTTCTCCCTTGGCTTTTGAAGCCACAATATTATATCAGATGTACAGAAATGACCCAACAATGCTCCAGACTTGTATATGTTGGGGAAAGTAATATTTGGATGCAGTGCAAGAGACACATGTGGTATACTACAGGTAGTCCTCAACTTACAACAGTTCGTTTAGTGACCGTTCAAAGTTACACTGAAAAAATGTGACATATGATTGATTTTCACAGTTATGACCTTTGCCGCATCCCCATGATCATGTGATCAAAATTAAGATGCTTGGCAACTGGTTCATATTTATGACCCGTTGCTGTGTTCCAAGTTCATGTGATCTCCTTTTGCGACCAATGGGGAAGCCAGATTCACTTAACAACTGTTACCAACTTATCACCTGCAGTGATTCACCCAACAACTGTGCCAAGAAAAGTTGTAAAATGGGGCAAAATTCACTTAACAAATGTCTCACTTAACAAGAGAAATTTTGGGCTCAATTGCAGTCGTAAGTCGAGAACTACCTGTAGTTAAGGTGTTGAGATTCAGTCTTGGTCCCTTTTCAAACATGGAAATACCCCAAGGTTTATCCATCTCTCCCAGCCCAACCTACTTTATAAGGTAGTGACTGTGGGGAGAGACACAGAGTGGGTCACTTGGAGCTTCTAAAGGAACGTTGGGTAATAAAACTAACAGGCTGAATAATACATGACTGAGCTTCCCAAATACATACCCCTTCCTTATTCTCACAACTGCAAAGAATGTTCCTTTGATGTACATTTTAGACACAGAGACTTTTTGAAAATGTCCATGATGGCCATTTTTACTTGTGCCATTGCTGCCCTGTGATCTTCATTAATTTCCCATTTATTTTTCAATTTCAGGAAGAGGAACATAATCCCGTGAAGATCAATAAGCGCCCCAGCAAGGTAGGATGGTGAAAAGGAAGGGTGACTTCCCAGGATCAGGCAAAGAGATTATACATTGGTAGACACAAAGTTAAGCTGGCCTCCTTTTCCTCCCCTCCCTCCTGTTTCTTGCTTACTATAGATCATTTTATACTCTGAGGCAGGCTTTGGAGGGCAGAAAAGAGAAATCTGGAATGATGTCCCAGATGCCACTTCTTGGGAACTCGCAAACACTATCTCCATTCAGGTGATCCGAGGAGGGTAAGCAATGCTTTGGCTGGCTTGGAATAAGCATAGTGGGAAAACTGGACTATTTTTCATAAATATTTGTATGCTTGTTCAATATAGAGGAAAAGCATGTCCCCTTTTAAAAACCTTGAGGAATGTGGGTGGATACCCAAGGAACTCCATGAGCATCATACACCAGCCAATCCAAAATCAGAATTCAACTGGAAGACCTGGCTCATCAAATGTTGTTCCTTTCTGGTTCTCTCCAGCTGGTTGATGTATGAAAAGCCCCGATTCCATGGGAGGAAGTGCGTGTTGGCTGAAGGGAACGTGGAAATCACTAACCCTTGGAGAATGTACTGCGAGGAAGAGTCAGAAAGAGAGAATGCCCCATTCCGTATTGGTTCTCTCAAGAGGGTTGTGCAGGTAAAGGGGACTGAGTTCAAATTATAACCCTAAGTGACTGAAGCTTCAATTTTTCAATGCAAAGCACTTGACAGTATTTTGAATGACTTGGTTGATGCATTAAGTCTGCCTTGACCAGGATCATCTAGAAAATTATTTTCTGAAAAACAAAAAGTTTTATCGACTGTTGAAATATATAACCATTACTGAATGCTAGGAAGTAGTGATTATGGAAATCAACTCTTTATCCATTAACAAGCTAAACTTCTTTGCAGGATTACAAATTCCCCGAGATCACTTTTTTTGCGGAGGAAAATGGTGAAGGGAGAAAACAGAGATTCACCAATTCTGCAGAAGATTTACGAACATGCGGGCAACCCTTGAACGCAGCATCTATCATTGTACACTCTGGCCTGTAAGACACTTCTTTTTTCTCCTGTTTTGGGTACCCACTTTATAAGAGGTGATCTTGAGCTAAAGTGCTTGACTTCTTTTTATAGAGACGAAAATAGATAGATAGATACCCTTTATTGTCTTTTTTTTTTTACCTGTGGGCACATTGGCACACATTAAAAATGAAATTTAGTTGCTTGTTCTCAAAGTGTTCTCATACATAACACATATTTAAATATGCTATATACAACATATGTGTAAATCTATACCCTTACATATAAATAACACACATATTAATCACTGACCATCTTGAATACGTTACAAACAGAGGAAGCTTTAGAGTTCACAAGGTTAATACTGTATGGAACAAAACTATGGCTGAATCTGGATGCTCTGCTTCGGATACCACGGAGCCTCCTCCCAGAAGATAACAAGGAAAACAGGTCGTGAAGAGGATGTGGATCCTGCTCAAGCAACGCTTATATGCTATGTCCTGGATGGAAGGGAGGGAACTGCTAATAATCTTTTCTGCCATCCTCATCACTCTCTACACCACCTTCCTGTCTGAAGCAGGGATGCTTCCAAACCAGACTGTGATGCTGTATGACTGGATGCTCTCAATCGTCCCCCTGTAGAAAGTGGTCAGGACAGGGGAAAGAAGATGTGCTTTTCTCATGTACGCAGAAAATGCAGGCGCTGCTGTGCCTGCTTCACCAGTATCTCGCTGTTGAGCAACCAAGCCAGCCTACTCGTTAACTGCACACCCAGGAATTTGATGCTGGTAACCATCTCCACAGGTGAATCATTAATGCACAGAGAAGTGTGGCTATGCCTGCCTTTTCTGAAATCGACTGTGATCTCTTTGATTTAGATAGATCTGTAGAGTGGCCATTAGCTCCTTCTCTAATGGAAGGCTTATTGGTTACTAGCAACAGTTCCACACAGAGGAACATTGATGTGTGGCTAATTTACTAGGTAGATGGCTAATAGAATCCACTGCCAATGTCAGTGAGGGGTCCTGTTGGGATACTGGGACCACAACAGCTGCTAGAGAAGATGCCAGTCCTGCCAAAACATTTAAGAGCTGAATATGGTCTGTTCATCTGGGTACTCATTTCCACCCAGTCTCCCGGGACATGATTGCCACATTTTATGGAAACGAACAAAATGTGCAACGAGAGAGTAGTACTTTCACATAGTCCCTGTTCATTTCAAAAGAAGTAGAATCCGACTCTGACCTAATGATTTCAAGATTCTGATATTTTGTGCTGCTTATGATAAGCTGCTTATACTGTGGTTGAGTCCTGCATTCTCTGATTGCAAGAGAGATGGCTCGGTCAAGGTACCGGTGGAAAAGTGGTCTTGATGCTTTGTCTGCAGCTTCTCACAACTGGTTCTCACATCCATTTGGAAATTCAAATGTTTATTTATTTGAAGCTTTTAAGGGCAAGCTCTGCAGACTATTTCTCAACTTGCTTGGAAAACCCAGCATACTATTGAAATTTTCATACAAATAATCCATGATTCTTCTTGTTCAGATTTTTCTTTTTTCTTTGCACACAATACAGAATTCTGTACATGTATTGCTCTGAACTGTGTGTTTTATAGATATTTTGCTTATTTTGTGAGTTGGGGTAGATTGTAAAATTTGAAAATGGACGAAAACCAACCAATCATTGTCTTCTAATTTACATATTAGTCTACAAAACACAAATTGGGCTAGTTGATTTAAGACATTAATCAAACAAACTGTCTCCTTCCAGAAGATCTCTTGGGACATTCAATTCCATCCAGTAGGCATGTTAGCATTATTTGTTTTGTCAGTTCTTTTATAGATCTCTCTATTCCACAGGTGGCTCGTTTATTCCAAACCATTCTTTGATGATGACCCATATGTCTTAGAACCTGGTGGGTATCCCAATTTGCAAGCCTGGGGTGCAAAGGACCCGTCCATTTGCTCCATGCATCCAATTAAACTAGTAAGTATCCCCTAAAAAATAGCAATAGCATTTAGCTTATATATTGCCCATGGTGCTTTACAGCACTTTCTGTGTGGTTTACAATGTCAGCATATTGCCCCCAACAATCTGGGTCTTCATTTTACCAACCTCGGAAAGATGGAAGACTGAATCAACCTCGAGCTGGTCAGGATTGAACTGCTGGCTGTGGCCATATTTTGCCTGCAATACTACATTCTAACCACTGCACTATCAGGGCTCTTTATGCATATACGTTATTAACAGCACATGACCAAGCAAGTTAACATCACACAGAATCTCATTAGTCAGATTTAAAGTCAGGAAAAGGTACTACTGATTCTTGGAAAACGAATACATTTACATATTCTAGCCCTAATGTTCTAATTCATTAAGGCAAGGTCATCGTGAGTTGTTTATTCCTTTTTATACTGATTCCTTAATGGATGAACTAAGATCTCAAGAGGCAAGTTCATCTGGTCCTCAGTTGCCATGTCTTGGAGAAGTTCTCAAACCCAGGGAATTCTACTACTGTGACTTTATTTGTTCATTTGTTTGCACTTTAGATTTACATTTGCATTTTTGCTTACTGGAGAATTTGGGAGGTTGAAGTCCACACACCTTAAATTTGCCAAGGTTGAGAAACCTTGCTTTAGAGCAGTGTTTCCCAACCTTAGCCATGTAAAGGTGTATGGATGTCAACTCCCAGAATGCCCCAGCCAGCCTTGCTGACTAGGGTATTCTGGGAGTTGAAGTCCACACATCTTAACATGGCTAAGGTTGGGAAACATTGCTTTAGAACAGAATTCTCCAATCTTTCTCGCTTGCTGGCCAATGTGGGGGAGGAGATGATTTCATGTGAGCAGTGGGCACATATGCCCACCTGTTTGTGCTAATGGAGCATGCATGCATGGGCTTGTCCCCTGCTTGCGCAGCTATGAATGCTTGTGCGCTTGCCCACCACTTTCGCAGCCTGGTTCTGCTCTAGAGCTTCATAGTCTTAAAAGGGGGAATTTCTTCAACTGCAATTTGAGCCAGAAATAAACCATGTGAATTAGCTGAGAAACTAATAACCCTTGAGGATCCCATCAATAAGGAACTCATGTAGGAGCAGCACAAATTCCACATATGGAAATCCCGAACCTGTTAAACATGCAGACAACAAAATTTATTTTGCAGATTGCCTATGTCTATTTGTTTCTCACCCTGAGAGGGCAGATTTAAATACTACAGGTGCAGCAATTTATTTAAAAAAAATGAGGTGCTATTTTCACCAAATGTATTCAACTGGTATTTTACTTGTGCAAGTCAGCTGAATGACAGGTTTGTTTTTTTTAAGCACACATGTCTTTAATTTGTTTAAGAAAAGTGTAGTGCCTCATACAAATGAATGCATGTCTGTTTGTACATTTCTTCATTACTTAATCATTGCTTACTTAGTTTATTTAAGCAAGTGAGATGTGTAACCAGATGTTACACTGTGGAATGCAAGTTCACTGCTTTTCATTCCACTCCCTTTCTTAATTTTCTATCTTTTCCACACACCCTCCTTCCATAAGTACATTCAGTTCTGATTGGGCTGTTCTAGGAATACCTCTCTTTATATTCTTTATTTTTAGGGAGTTGTTGTACTTTGGCCAACATTGCGTTGCCCTGAAGCCACTGTCAGTCCCATGCTGTGGCACAAATTGCAGTTTCAGCTAACACAGCAAACTCCTTCCTTTCTGATTGATTTGGAAATCAGTGAAGTGACTTAGGCAACCAAATTCTTTTCTTAAAAATGAAACCAGTATTGAACTGTTAGAATAGCAGCACAGTAAAAACATCAACAACCTGCTAAAGGAGCAAATGAATGAAGGCTTGTTTGCACGTTCTTCAAAGATATACAATTTTTATCAAATGGCTTTGGAAGAAAAGGGAACATTTTGGTACTAGTAATGTGATTGTTTCTTCCACATTTTTTTTTAAAGAGTACAAGACCTTTTGTCTTGATTGAGGGGAAAAGTATAAATTTTGTTCAATTCTCACCTCTTTCAGGGGTGAGAGTGTTAAAAAAATGACGATGGCAATAGCAAATAAATGAAGCCCTGGCCTTTTTAGTGATACGTTAAAATGGACCAAGCTTTGATCATGTGGTTGCAGTTGCCATTTTGACTTTTTTGACCTCCACGTGCCCCCTTGCTTTTGCCTATCTGCACTAGGTGAATTAAGCAGTTTCTACAGTTTCCAGCACAGATGCTTTCATCCACAACATAACTTTTTTTTTAAAAAACAACAACAAAGAAGTCACAGCCCAAATTCATTGCTATAAATATGGTTATTTTATTTTTAAAAGAACTAAGGAACCAAAGCATTCTGCTTGCACTAGTGAATTGGTCAAATTGGTTTCCCCCCCTTGCCTTTGAACTTTTTAAATGTTAAGTGTATGTGAGGAAATTTGAAATGTTTAACCAATTCCTATTTTAATATTGAAAGCAAGACAGTTTTGATGGATGATAATCTAATGTCAGGAAGAATTCTTGTGCAAAAGTGGAACCAGAAAATGTCTTAAGAATCCAGATAATGATGAGTTGAAAAGGAAACCATAATCAATAGATCCATTTATAAAATGTTCTTTTTTGTTTATTCTCATTTCAGGGTTCCCCAGTTGTTGAAACCCCTGCAGAGCCAAAGGTAATGGGATCATGAACAAGTCTGATCATTGGATAGAAATACATCCTTGCAAAAAGTAGAGATAGAGAATCTGAGTTTCCTGCAAAATTGCTTTTTTTTTTTTAGCTGAACACATTAAAAGATATATATATTATAGTTTGGACATCAGAACCATGCTACCTTTGTATGCACAATAAAATAAGAATACAAAATAGGCCAGTCTGTACATTTTCTAGAAACCTATGGGCTTTATTTTACGGTAGACTTTATTTTATGGTGCTTGCAATTTACATATTTCTAAAGATTTTACTTTAGAAATCTCCAGAAATGGTTTTGAAATTTAAGCCGCAGTTAGATTAATTCCATTAATATGCTGAGTAGGACTCGTGGGACATATAACACATAATGCACCCCCTTGATGCTGCCGTTAAAATCTGCCTTCTTTTATCTCACTTCCCTTCTTTCAGACCCTCGCATCTTCTCACAGACTGTCAACTGAAATCTGTTCTTGGGGGCTGCACATGCACTTCCTATAAACAGAGAAAATTAAGTGATAGATATTGTGACATTAAGTAGAAGGGACTGAGTCTGCTTAGAAAGGATTAAGATCAAATTTGCTGATTAAACTGGCTTCTGAAATCAATAGAAAGTTGAACAACTTGGCAAGCAGGACATTTCTGCTTTCTACAAGGGGTTGGTGTCAGGAAAAACAGACTTCCGTTTTTTAGACCACAAAGGTACCTAACATATAGAAGTGGAAGAAAATACTCTTGCGTATGTGTCAATCTCGGGGGGGGGGGATCCAGATAAGAATCACAACCAGATGAGCTATTTCTACTTTAGTAAAACTATATTGAAACAATCTTGCAAGTATAAAAGTACAACTATTCCCCCCCACACACACACCAGTCTCCTTTACAGCCCAAGAAACTAGGGGAGGGGTCTCTTTTAAGCCTCTTAATGCTCCAACTATCTAGCTGTGAGTGATATTGCCTCTTATTTGACTTCTCCCTTGACAGCATCTCTTTCCCCATTCCCCCAAGGTCTTTTTCACCTATCCTTACACTATATCCATAGATAGAAAATTGGGCATAAAAAGATAAGCATGTGAACTTAGATGAAAGAAAGTTAAAAAGTGTCAGACAGAGTCACTTATTTGAGTTGGGCAGCTAGAAAAATTGATTAAACAATCAAATAAAAACTTACCTTATGTAAGGTAAACCTTACAGCTTTCATTGACTAGCTGATTACTTCCCAAATTCTTTTAAATTCTGTATATAGGTAAGTCCTTGACTTATGACTGAAATAGAGCCCAACATTTCTGCTATAAGCAAGGCAACTGTTAAGTGAGTAGTGCTCCATTTTATGACCTTTTTGCCCCATTTGTTAAGCAAATTACTGCAATTGTTACGTGAATCATGTGATTGTTAAGTGAATCTGGCTCCCTGCATTAATTTTGATTGTTGGAAGCTGGCTGGGATGGTTATAATTTGTGATCGCATGATCCCAGAACCAGTGCAATTGTCACAAATACATGCCAGTTGTCAAGGGCTTGAATTTTGATCACATGACCATGGGGATGCTGCAATGGTCACAAGTGTGAAACCCAGTCATAAGTCAATTTGTTCAATGCTGTTGTAACTGTGAATTGTCACTAACAGAATGGTTGAAAGTCAAGCTCTGTAATTTGTGATTCAGCTCCTTGGGAATCTCAGCATTTACTCATTCCTCCATCCCAATATTTTTTTTACTCTTAAAGTCAGTATTAAGTAATATGTGTAAGCCAAACAAATGTTCATTTCATTCTCCATCATTTTCTTCCCAGATTCTAATTTTTGAAAGGCCACATTTCCAGGGTCGTAGCTGGGAAGTAAGCCAAGATATTTACAACTTAAGGAAGTCAGAAAACAACCAGGATTCTATGATGTCGACTGCTGGTTCTCTCAGAATCATGGGAGGCTGGTGAGCAATTTTTGATAACGTGATTTCCCCCGTTTGTATTATGTTGCTTTGCCTATAGCAGTTCAGGGAAGCAAAAGCAAGGCAAAGACAAGCCACACTGGGCTTTAAAAAGCACAAAGCACGAAGCTGAAAATACCAGCCTGAAGATGACGAATGAGACTTCGTCGAAACGTCGCCAAGACACTTCCAATTTTACGCGGGAGAAAACCCGAATTTTACGCAGGAGAAAACCCGAATATATATATTGTATATATATATATATATACAATAAATAAGATGCAAAAATATTGTATCAGTAACTGGACAAAGGAATTACAAAGCTGTATAATTAGTACTCAGTATATCCTTGATGAAAAATAACCATAATACATTGTTATTTTTAATAACAAGGAAAAGGATTTTAGAGATCTTTTTCAATTTCTGAAACGAATACTAAAGTTTCCACTTTCCACCAAAAAAATTCCCTTCCTTTGCCCTTGCTTGTTTTCTGTCTCATACATTTTTTTAAAAGAAAGATTAATTTAAAAAGAAAAATACAAAAAGACTATTTTCGCTGCAGGAATCATATTGTCCTTTGTTAAATAGGCTGATTTGGGAAAGGAGAGAAAGAAAAATCCCAAAGGTGCTTTTCCAAAAAGGCAACTGGACTTTCTTGGTTTTTTTCCTTGAAAACGTTTGGTCTCTCATCCAAAAAGCTTCTTCAGTTCTGACTGATTGGTCAGTCGCCATTCAGTCAGAACTGAGGAAGCTTTTTGGGTGAGAAGCAAAATGTTTTCAAAGAAAAAAACCAAGAAAGTCCAATTGCCTTTTTGGAAAAGCACCTTTGGGACAACCAAGACCTGGATGATTGAGAATCTCTTTAGACTTGAGAGAAAGAAGCACTTTTATATTCAGGAATAGAGTAGTTGCTTCTTTTCCCCTCTTTTATTGTTGGTGTATTGTCATTTCCAGCTGGGTTGGCTATGAGAAAGAAGGTTTTCGTGGCCATCAGTACCTATTGGAAGAAGGAGAATACTGTGACTGGACAGACTGGGGTGGCTATAATGAAGAGCTATTGTCGCTGAGGCTGATCCGGACAGTAAGTCTGCCTGTTTGCTCACTGAATTGAAAATAGGAGATCTATGGTGCTTTGGTCCTACAGCATTATCTAAGGCAGTGGTTCTCAACCTGTGGGTCGGGACCCCATTTGGGGTCGAACGACCATTTCACGGGGGTCGCCAAACAACGCAGTCCGCCATTTTTTCCCCCTTTTCCTTAGCTGTGCTACTCCCTTTTATTCTATTGGCTTTTGAAAGCCAATAGAATAGACTCTCTTGAATAGAGTCTAATTCTATTGGCTTTCAAAAGCCAATAGGAATTGTCCAGGCTGTATCTGCCCTGCTGAGCCCGCCAAAAGTCCCATTCTGCAAATGGTGCTGCACCAGTTGAGTAGTCCTCGACTTACGACCGGTTGAATAGTCCTCGACTTACGACCGGTTGGGGTCGCAGCCTTAAAAAGGTTGAGAAACACTGATCTAAGGAAATATTTAACCTTTAAAATAATGTTTCTCAACCACAGCTACTTTAGAATGTGTGGACCTCAACTTTCAACTCCCAGAATTCTTGCTGGCGGGAGAATTTTGGGAGGGACATCCATTGATCTTAAAGTTGCTAAGATTGGGGAACATGGCTTTAGAGGATGGATTTCTAAACTTTTCACTATCACATTTCTCATGTAATCTTAATGTACCCAACTCCCTTAAAAAAATCCAAATATCAAAACGAACATAAACCATGAGAACAATACAATGAGACTGGTGGTCATAGTGGTGGGGTAGACGTAAAAAAAAAGGTGAAATATTCATAAAAAAGTGGAATATTGAAACGGTGGGATATCCAACACAAGGGGGCAACCACACAAGTGAAGGTGGTTTAGACTTAACAAAGACATAAAAAAGCAAATTTTGTGCCTTCTCTACCACCATGATACTTGAAAATAGTATCATGATGCCTCCTCTACCACCAAATACTTGAAAGTAGTATTTTGAGAAAGGTGGATTTATTATAACCATGTACACATGGTCCTTGATTTACAACCACAACTGAGCCCAAAATTTCCATTGTCGAGCAAGATAGTTCTCATGACCTTTCTTGCCAGAGTTAAGTGAATCACTGCACTTGTTAAGTTAGTAACACAGTTGTTAAGTGAATCTGGCTTCTCCATTGATTTTGCTTATCAGAAGGTTGCAAAAGGTGACCACATGACCCCGGGATAATTTGAGTTTCATAGGGCAATCCTAGGCCACTCTACCAAGAACATGGGTAAATAATATTGCTACATTATGATACATTCACTTTTTTTTTTTAAATCTCTCTGAGTAGGACTTTTTGGACCCAGCCATTGTACTTTTTGAAGCCATGGATTTTGAAGATGGCCCCTCTGTTGAGCTCAGTGAGGCTCTGCCAGATGTTGAGCTGGCCAGCTATGGCATCATGACACAGTCCATCCATGTCCTGAATGGAGTGTGAGTATTTGCTGAGGAAATGTAGAGAGACCACCTTGATGGGAACAGGCAAAATCTGTTACCTGAAACTTTCTTTCTGTTCTGGGCAAGAAGATGATGTTCAAAAATGGATGGTACAGAGGCCTTCTTGATTCACCCATTCCTCATTTAATGATCAAGTACCCTTTCAACGATCAGGTTGTTAAGTGAAATGGTCACTAAGAGAGAAAGAGAGAGAGAGATGCAGCAAAGATCGTTGCTTACTGCTGTCTCAAGGAGAGAAACTTAGTAATAAGGAGACATTTCTTGACAGTGAGAACAATTAATCAGTATCACGTCTTGCCTTCAGAAGTTGAGGGTGCTCCATCACTGGAGGATTTTAAGAAGAGATTGGACAGGCATTTATCTGAAATGCTATAGGCTCTCCTCTTTGAGCAGGGGGTTGGACTGGAAGACCTCCAAGGTCCCTTCCAATTGTGTTATTCTGTTATGCTGTAAGTTGTCTCATATCGCTCCATCAGCATTACTCAGTGCATCTTACACATGTACTATATTGGGATATCAACTTTCTAAATTCCCAACCAGCAATGTTAGCTTTCAAACTTCCTGTCTCAATTTTGGCCAGGCTGTAACCTCAACATTCCTGGGACCAAAGTTTTAAATCAGTAACTCTAACTGTTTTCAGACGATAACAGAAGGGATAGAACTGATACCTCACCAGAACACTATTTTGGACTAGTACATGAATATGGACTTGTGGATAATTTTATTCCCTTTGCTGTGACTAGGTGGGTAGCCTATGAAGGCAAGAATTTCAGTGGGGAACAATATATTTTGGAGAAAGGAGTATATCGCAACTGTGAAGACTGGGGAGCAACCAATTGCCAGATTGCCTCCGTGCAACCTGTCCTACAGGTAAGGTCCAGACGTCTGTCTTCACTTCCTTCCAGTTCAGATATGATGTCCCTCAACCCACATTCCAAGTCTCCAAGCAACCTTCTGCATTTGCATATAGCCCTCCTGGTGATCTGAAGTAGGAACTCCATTCCATTAAAAAAAGGAGAAGCCTTAAAGTTTTGCCTTGTATGCTCTCCTATCTTCTTCAGAGATTAACAACTAAGCAACGAGCAGTGTGGTCAATCTGTCTGAACACAATGTTTTTCAGAGAATTCTTTTAGTCCAAAACTGAAAAGAAGTTGCAGTGCACTGGCCATTTCCCCATTTGAGATGATCTCACTCACATAGTGAATTCTGTAGCATAGTTACACCTCTTTTTTATTTTGTGCTAGCTAGATCATCCAATCAGTAATAAACTCAGTGTGGGATTCAGCTGTTTTGCACCAGTTCGGCAGAACCAGTAGCTAATTTTTTGTTGCCCAGGCCCAGAATGGACTTCCGGAAGTGGCATCCACACAGAGAACCGGTTGTTCACCTATTTGAATCCCACCACTGAATAAACTGTACATTTCTCTAACCTGATCCAAATACAGTATCATAATTTATTTTTATTTCCCCACCTCTTCCTCTACCAGGTTGGGGAACGCAGCCTGTTCTTCATTTCTAAGGTGAGCAACTGGTATTGAGAAGTAAGGCATGAATGTAGTTCTTATGTCACATTATGCTACTCTAGCAAGATTACCACATTTGAGTTGATTTGGTCCATTAGCTCAGAGGTGGGCAAACCCAAAGCTGTTTATAGGCTTTACATGATGCTTGTTGAGCCTTTACTAAACTTGACCACTGATCCTATTTTGCTTCCCTCGCCTATCCCAATAATAAATAAAGGCTGTATTTAATATAGCTTTCCTGAAATTTCGTAATCTTTACCCTGCTTATTCTGGTAGCCTTATTGCCATAATTCCTGTGTTCCTTGCAGGCAATTAGCTAAATAAAAATTAAAAGTGCCGCACACCTCTCCTCCCAGATTAAAAAAAAAAGATTGCTTTCTCCTGTAGTAACTGGATGATGAGGTTATTTATATTTTATAGATATAGTATTTTCAGAGAAGAAGGATGGATAAGAATCATATTGTTATAGCAATATGTTAGATTCATCAATGAAAATACGGTAGTCATCTTCCTTTGAATGCCTCCCCACAGGCCTTGGCAACTTTAAGATGGGTGGACTTCAACCCCCAGAATTCCCCAGCCAGTATGGGGAAGGCAAAACAATTTCCTTTCCTTAAGAAATTCTGAAAACCATCATTTTAAAAACAAAATGGTTACAACTGTGGGACAGTTATTCCAAGCTACTTCAGTCTATCTCAGTGGTGGTGAACCTATGGCACGCATGCCAGAGGCAGCACTCAGAGCTCTCTCTGTGGGCACACTTGCTGTTGCCCCAGCTCGCCTCCCCCCATGACCCCCTCACCAGCAGCCCCCTGGAGGAGAGTCGCCCCCGAGTGTGGCCCACGCGGAGCAGAGCAGCCAAGGACATGGCAGCCAGGCAGCGTGGACAAGACTCTGCCTCATGCCCCATCATGCAGAGTTGATGCTGCAGGGTGTGGGCAGAGGGCGTGGCCACCATTGGCGCTGCTGAGCTGCCTGGGTGACCTGCGGTGGGCCCTGTAGGCGGTGAGTGGCCCTGCGGGCAGGCAGGGTGGGGGACAGGGTGGGGGGGAAGCAGGGGCGGGGCCAGTTTTTGGGCACTCGGTCTCTAAAAGGTTCGCCATCGCTGGTCTATCTCTTGTTCACATCAAGATATTTTTGACTCCCTAGATCCAACTCTTCTCCGAACCTAATTTCTCGGGAAACTCCATGACTTTTAAGGAGGACCAAGCAACTCTTCCAGAGAATTTAGTCCCCCATTCCTGTAGGGTCAATGGAGGCAGGTAATGATCTCTTGTCAACAGGACCTCCCTCATTCATTCTCATTTGGTTCTTGCCATTCTGCCAGTGTTTCCTGTTCCAGATCCCAAAGAAATGGTGCTCAGGTTCCCTTTTGCTTATAGAAAAGGAGGTAGGATCCAGAAGTTTCTACAGGAGGGAATTAGAGCAATTCTCAAGGGGAGGGAAGTCTATCCAAAGTACAGTTCAGAGAGTGAAATGACTCAGTGGGTTGATAATTTTTCATATAAAGCAGCAACGTCAAAGCAGTTAAAATATAACTCTGAGTCATTTTGTGGGGCTTCCCCAGACACTCCTGTCAACTGAGCCATTGATGTCAATGGGGAAAAAATAACAGAGGAAAAAAAATTACCATAACATACGTAGAAAGAAAAAGTGGGCGGAGAGAATAAAACCAACATTTTCCTTTTGAGCTTCTAGGAAACTTAATAAGACGCAAAGAGGAATTCCTATGCCTCCTTTGGGCTTATATATATATATATATATTATATATGTCCTTAATGGTTGTAAAAATACGAGTATATTTTATATATATAAGAGCCGAGGTGGCGCAGCAGTTAGAGTGCAGTACTGCAGGCCACTTTAGCTGACTGTGTTCAGCAGGTCAGCAGTTCAAATCTCACCGGCTCAAGGTTGACTCAGCCTTCCATCCTTCCGAGGTAGGTCAAATGAGGACCCAGATTGTTGGGGGCAATGTAAATATATATATATACATTGCTTACTGGTGTACACCGCTTAGAGAGTGCTTGCACTTAAAGCGGTATATAAGTCTCATAAAATAAATAAAATAAATAATATATATATTGCTATTCAGATGGTGTTCAGGTAAATTTCAAAGGGAGATCAAGTTTCCATGAACTATAATTGCTTCTTTGATCACTGCCTCTAAAGTCACACACAAGTCACATTCAAATTGTCTCTTCTTAGCTGGATTCTTTATGATGGCCACCATTTTGATGGTGAGCAGCACGTTCTCTCAGAAGGCGAGTATCCAACACTGAGCTCCATGGGTTGTGCCTTCACCACAGCTATCTGCTCTCTGAAGAAAATCCCTATTGTAAGTCATGACGATCATCCTCCTAAGCCTTTATCTGACGTTCTTATTACTCAGCTGCTGCCGAGAAAACTACATGGACATGGACATGTCCAAGAGTCAAGTTTGACTCAAGTAAAGAGTCTTTCTCTTTTTGATTGTCCAGTTTTGGGAGGTGTAAGTTCAAGATAGGAAGAGGATACCTTTTCACATTAGAAACAATTAACTTAAGAAACTGCTTGGTACAAGATATGGAAGGGTTAAAGGGGGGGATGGGGGGAGGGATTTTATTGTAAAAGTTTATAAAAATTTCAATAAAAAAAAGATATGGAAGTTACTGGTCAGCTAGTCAAAATAACTGCAGCAATTTGATTTAGAAAAGTCAGGGCAATTTATTAGTGCTGGAGGCATCAAGAAGAGCATTCTTCCTGTCCATGGGCTTCTGGCACTGCCATTCGGTCACTGTGGAAAGGAAAGTGCCAGGCTAGGTGGCACTTTCCTTTTTAGGCTCCTCTTATGTGTTCATTCAATATTTTTTTATCTTGTATTTCTTTTACACTTTGTTGTGTTGTTTATTGGACTACAATTCACATCGTCCTCAGGCAACTTGATTATAGGCTGCACACCAATGATAATGGGAATTGTAGTCTAACATACTTCTGAAGACCCCCTCTTGGAAGGGCTGTCTTATACTGTCCATTATCGGTCTGTTTTTCCCCACTGAAGCCTTGATAAAATCCAAATCAAATGAAATCTATACCCTTTGGAATAATTGTTATTGTTACCTGTTAATGATCATCCTCATCTTTTCCAAAATAATTCTCATTCACTTGAAATTCTTGTAATTAGAGTAGCAGCTGCTCAGGGAATTTCCAACTTGCATGCCAATCTCTCACCAAAGAGCTTTCCCATCATACATTGAGGCTGCCTACATGACGTAGTTCAGTGGTTCTCAACCTGTGGGTCGGGACCCCATTTGGGGTCGAACGACCATTTCACGGGGGTCGCCAAACAACGCAGTCCGCCATTTTTTCCCCCTTTTCCGTAGCTGTGCTACTCCCTTTTATTCTATTGGCTTTTGAAAGCCAATAGAATAGACTCTCTTGAATAGAGTCTAATTCTATTGGCTTTCAAAAGCCAATAGGAATTGTCCAGGCTGTCTCTGCCCTGCTGAGCCCGCCAAAAGTCCCATTCTGCAAACGGTGCTGCACCAGTTGAGTAGTCCTCGACTTATGACCGGTTGAGTAGTCCCGACTTACAACCGGTTGGGGGTCGCGGCATTAAAAAGGTTGAGAACCACTGACGTAGTTTGACCAAATAACCCCCACTCTGTTTTCATCTTGTTCTCTGCTCTTCCTGGTTTGTTTGTTTTTTACAGTTCTTCTCTGAGCCTTCCATCTTCCTGCATGGACTGGAGTGTTTTGAAGGGAAGGAGATTGAGTTGAATAGTGAAGTACGCAGCCTGAAAGCTGAAGGGTTTAATAATCACGTGCTCTCCATCCGGGTAAAGGGTGGGATGTAAGTAAAGAAAAAACAAGGGGATGGACTGTTCGCTTTGCGTTGCATTTGTCTCCTTCCAAACCGCAGATTCAGCCCAGCTTCTTCATTTATCTGAACTTTTGAATGCACTTTCAGTAGTGTATACAGGTAGTCCTTCACTTACATCAGTTCATTTCGTGATCGTTTGAAGTTACAACGGCACTGAAAAAAGTGACTTATGACCGTTTTTCATACTTATGACCTTTTGCAGCATCCACGTCGTCATGTGATCAAAATTTAGGTGCTTGGCAATTGGTTCACGTTTACGACGATAGTGTCCTTGGGGTCACGTGATTCCCTTTTGCGATCTTCTGACAAGCAAAGTCAATGGGGAAACCAGATTCACTTAACAAAGGTGTTACTAATTTACCAACTGCAGTGACTCACTTAACAACTGTGGCAAGAAAGGTGGTAAAATGGGGCAAAACTCACTTAACAAATGTCTCACTCAGCAACAGAAATTTTGGGCTCCATTGTGGTCATAAGTTAAGGACTACTTGTACATTCTTATTCAAATTGTTTCCTCCTTGTGTAGGTTGTATCAGCCATTTCCGCCACTGAGCAACGTTTTTATATGCGTATTCTTGTAATATATGTCTTTAGGTGCATGTTTTGCATTTGTTCTTATTTGGTTGATCTGGCTTTGGTCTTAAGCTTTTCCAAACCTGTTGCTGTGATGCTGAAGGATTCTGGGTTTTGCCTTCAAGTCAGCATTGACTCTTGGCAATTGCCTGGAATGGTCCCTGTAGTTTTCTTGCAAAGTTTTTAGAAGTGGATTGCCATTACCTCCTTCTTAGGACTGAGAGAAAGTGACTGGTTTAAGGTCAACCAGATTTGTGCCTAAGGCAGGACTAGAACTCACAGTTTCTAGCTAATGCTTTGACTACTACACCAAACTGACTCTCACTGACTGAAGGATTGGGTGGATTGAAAGCCAACACATCCTGAGAGAACACTAATTGGGGGCAGTTGCTGTAAAATTATCATTTTTCAAGGCAGTATGCATTTATCCTTGACACTGATTGTGTAAGCGATCAGTGTATGGGGTCCTTGGTGCTCTCTGAGCTTAGTTGTTTTCTTGCAGGCATTTCATTACCCAATTAGGTAACATCATCAGTGCTTAGTTGAGTAGCAATCACCATTACCTGCATAGTTGAAAAGCTGGATAGTAATCACTATTACTTTTTTGGATAATGAGATGTCTGCAAGAAAACAACCAAGCAACAAGGATTTCATAGTTCAACCATGAGCTACAAATATTCACTTCTTTTGGTATAATGAAAGTATCTGGGTAAAAAACATTTGACAACTGATACTGATCAATGACCTTTTTGCTAATGTTTTTCCTCCTATGACCGGTTTGATTCCAATTCACAGCTGGGTGCTATGTGAACACAGTGACTTCCGAGGCCATCAGTGGGTTTTGGAATGCACGGAGATCACCAACTGGCTGAAATACAGTGGGATTCAACAAATTGGCTCCCTGTATCCCATCAAGCAGGTGGGTCTCATAGTTTTCTGATCATCTGGGATGGATGGATAAACATAGACGGAATTGAATGAATACATGTGACTACTAGACTCTCCTCTTTGCTACTTGTGCAGGGATGTTAGAAAAAAAAAACCAGAACAAATAGATATGAGATTTCTATGTATGTTATAACTAAGAAATAAGTACATATTGGCTCTACATCTAAGAAAAGATTGCAAGTCTGTATTAAGAACAATATCTCAAGAGTCTAGCTCTTTTGGAAAGACAATGTTTGTAAAGTAGTGGTCTCTTGTCTCCTGAAAAGGAAGCAGGATGTTTTTCTCTTTATACGGTGCATTTCTTCTTGGGGCCAGGAGTTGGGTGAGATGACTTTTGTGGTATCTTTCAATTCTATGACAGCTGTAGTTCTTTGCAACCAGAATTTTCTGCCTGTGTTTTTGTTGCTCGGTGTTCCTATAACATCCAACCATTCCCAATCTTGTAGACACTATAGAAATGTCATTCCATGGTACAGGACTTGTTTACAAGCCCAGACAATTCAAACTAATTCACAGTGTTATCATTTTTAACATTCATCTCTCCTCCCCTTTTTGCAGAGAAGGATCTATTTTCGAATAAAAAATCAAGAGTTGAAGACCTTCCTTTCTGTGCCTGATGATGTTGAAGATATGAAAGCTGGACGAGTTATGGTTTCAGAGATCAATGACCAGAACAGCTGCATCTGGTACTATGAAGAGGGACTTATGAAGAACCAAGTAAGGGCCTTCATCCACTTGGATAGAGATAGAGGTGGAGGCAATCAAGAATGTATCAATCTGGTTCTAGACATACCCAAACATTTATACCAGGTCCAGGGAGCTTGTCTCCCAGTAGGGTAAATAGTGTAGAAACAAGCAAGATGAGTAATATCCTAGATGTGGGACTTGCAACATAAAGTTGCAGAATGGAGTGTATCAGTTCAGAATTCCAACCATTTCTCCATTTGATCTCCTCATTAGATTTCCATCCCACTTGCTCAAAATCTCCCCATCCCTGGAGTGAAGTAAACAATTCATCTTGCCCATCTATATTGGCTGTTTCAGTTTTTCCAAGCTGAAGATTCTGTTTTTTCTAGATAATCAATATATAGTAATTATGATCCTGTACTAGCTTTAGCAGAACGCTAACTCTCTACAGATTTTTTAAATATTTTTTGTAGTGGCACTTGGGCCATCCCTTAGATCACACTGTTGCCTCCAAAGACAGGCAAGATTGTCCATTCATCCATAGAACTGTCAGAAAAGAGATTTTCAGGCCCAAAGTGTCCAAAAGTCAACACTGTTTCCTGGAATCGTTAATCAGATATTTCTGCCCCCCAAAATTCATTTGCTTCTCATCCTGGAGTTAATAAGTAGCCATCATGATGAGAAACCATTGACGGAGGTGTATCATCCATGAGTTTAAAATCTTCTGATTGAAGACCTTCACCATTAAAGTCTTGCACAAGCCAATAACTTCCATATATGTTGGAGTATAATCCCTATAGTCTCAGCCAACCAATCCAATTCTATCTGGTGATCATGGAGGTTGTCCTCCAAAATATCTAGACCAGATCAGATTGAGGAAAGATCCCATAATTTAATGCTACTTTGATGATGAAAATAAAAAAAAATATTAATAATGGTGCTTTTTATCAGAATTCGTAAAAATGCTTATCCTGTTCTTGGTTTTCAGATTGCACCCAATATGAGTCTCCAGGTAATTGGTGCAGCTGCAAAGGGCACCAAAGTGATTTTATGGTCTGACAGTCGAATGCCCCGGCAGACATGGAGAATTGATTCATTTGGAAGAATATGCAGCCAGATGTTTGAAGATAAAGTTCTAGATTTGAAAGGTAAGAGAACGGCTCTCTCTGTGTGTGTGTGTGTGTGTGTGTGTGTGTGTGTGTGTGTATGATAATCCTGACTTAGCTCCAAATAACAGTTTCAGAAGACAGGATTTAGGAGAGACTAAACAACCTGTGTTGGGCCATTGTTTCTAAGATAGTTGCTTATCATTCCTCAATGTCTTCAACAATAACAGAACTTCTAATATACTGCCTTCCCTAGAAAAATTGGGATACATTAGAGATGTATCTGCCTTGAAAATAGCACACATTGAACTGCATAGCACAGTCAAACATCAGCACAGGAAATATTTTGTGGCATTTTGTATTATGTCATAAACTATTTTATATTTAAAGCATAAAGTATTTTATAAAATCTGCCAAATTCCAGTTCCACAGGAGACATGGGTCCTAGATTTTGGATGTATTTTGTAAGTTAGTCCATTTCAAACGGTGCACCGTTTTGCCCAGTTGAAGATTATAGAAATTAGAATTTTATTAGCATATAGTTTATTCTGGCAGGAGCTATCAAACCATAGCTGGATCAGTCTTCACTCATTATAATTTCCTCCATTCCCAGGACCCGGTTCCTAGAAATATCTTCTATTTATTGCATTACATAATGGTGAATGCATGTTTAAAATGCTTACTATATATGCGCTATCTCTTATTAATATAGTAATACATAAATATGCAGATATTGTAATATAGTAATATAATACTTGATATTGCATGTATTGAATATTTTATAGTAATGTTTAAATACATTCCTAATATATATTACAACAGTATATACAACAAGTAGTTCTTGATCTTGTTTTTATTACAGGCATTATGTCAGTAATTTATAAATATGTATGATAATATCTTACATATTACAGCAATATTTAATAGTTGACATTGTTTAAATTGCTTATATGCATTATGGTAAAATATGCAATATATATTACTTTATATTATGTAACTATTTTAAAATATTTATAAACATTTTCTCATGATAACATATACAGTATAGTTACACAAATAGCTAATACAGCAATATAACATTTCATGTTGTAAAAGTCTTTAAAATGCATAGATACGCTATGTGAAATGGAATACATTATAATAATATAATTTTTGTGCTTAAAATGCATATATAGATAATGCATATAGATACGCTATATAATATGCTATAATTGTTCTCTTATATGTTTAAAATGCTTATCTGCATTTTCATAGTAATATTTCATACACAGTATAATATATAGCATGGCTAATTGCAGTAACATAGCACATGATATGCATTAATTCCCAGTGATTATAAGAATTTATAATATTAACTTAATATGGTCCTTTAATTTGCAAAATCTTTCAAATTCAGGCCATTTTCTCACAGCAAATCTTCCTGGTAGCTGCTCTCCTTCTTGGACCAACGTGCCAGCAGCCACGTTGAAAAAAACGAGCAGAGCCAGGGCCCAAAATACATCGAACTTAATTTAAAATTAAGGTTCATGAACATTCAAATGGAATGTCTTAATACTGTCAATAGGATTACTCTTGGTGTCTTTCTGCTTTCCTCCTGGCCATATAAAGTTACATCACTGAAAAAAGTGACATATAACTGTTTTTCACACTAACGACCGTTGCAGCATCCCCAGGGTCACGTGATTAAAATCTGGACGCTTGGTTCATATTTATGACAGTTGCAATGTCCCAGAGGTCACGTGATCACCTTTGGTGACCTTCTAAGGCAGGGGTTCTTAACCTTGGCAACTTTAAGACTTGTGGACTTCAACTCCCAGAATTCCTCAGCCAGCTTTGCTGGCTGAGGAATTCTGGGAGTTGAAGTCCACAAGTCTTAAAGTTGCCAAGGTTGAAGACCCCTGTTCTAAGGAGCAAAGTCAATGGGGAAGCCAGATTCTCTTAACGACCGTGTTCCGAACAACTTCACTCACTTAACAAATGTCTCAGTTAGCAACATAAATTTTGGGCTCAATTGTGGCCGTAAGTTGAAGACTACCTATATTGGAAGAAGCTGGTATTGATATCGGAAGAAATTGATTTCCCGCGTTGTGTCTGCTATTTAGGTGTAACTTCCTATGGCTTCTTTCCAGTGCACACTCACCCTTTCCTCCTGTCTTGCTAGGAGGCAGAACCTACGACCGGGATCACGCTGTCCTCTGGGAGTCATCTGAAGAGAGACCCACACAGATTTGGGATATTCAAGTGCTGTGAAGAAGGCAGGAAGGGGATCAGGAGCAGAGCAGAAGCTCACCTTGCAAGTCATCCATCTTTGGGGTGGAAAAAATTAACCATGTTTTTGGTCAGCCTAAGCCACCTGTCCTTTCCCAAAGCTCACAATCTGAAAAAAAGCACAATTGTTTAATGATACAGATTTGAGACTGATTTTCTCAGTCTTTTTGCACTGAGCATATGCTTCCTTCTATGCTCCTTTTTTTTTTTAGCTGTCCAAAATGATGCTTTCCGAAGTACAATTCGAAGAACAAGTCATTCACCGTTGACAGGGCTGGGACTCAGGCAGGAAGAGGTATCCCAGCTGGGTTGGATATTTAAAAAGAAATTCAATTAGCATAAGAACCTATACATACATTAATATATATATATATATATATATATATATATATATATATATATATATATATATATATATATATATATATATTTTGTCTATGGTCTTTGGTTATGTTTTTTTCCAACGTAGCTAAGGACTGCTTTGCCAGCTAAGAGCCTGTGAAAACACCATGACACGATGACGAACGACTTCGGAATGCGTCATTTGTCAGCTAAACTTCCAAAGGGCAAGAAGGAAGCATAACAAGAACCAAAAAGATAGAAAACATCTATATATATATATATATATATATATATATATATATATATATATATATTAAAATCAATAAATAGTTGAACACCAAGAGAATAAAATTATACAAAAGTTAAAAATGTACCCAAGAGTCATATTTTTACTTGCATAGCTGATATATATATACCCGTGAAAACCTCAGAAAACATATATATACATACATACATACATACATACATACATACATACACACACATATATCTGCATGCACAATCATGCTTGTGCCTTTTACTCTTTTTTTCCTAAGGGAAAGGCTTTCCTACCTTTAAAAATTCTATTTATGTATCTATGTACTATAAGATGCTTTTATAAACATACCTTTCTCTGGTGGATTTGCTTGATTCTCTTATTTCCCACTGAAATAGGCTCCAGGGATATGATGGCTATGTAAATACACAGGATTATGAAAATGGTTAGGCACTTTGTAGCGTCTGCCTTGGCAGAAATAAAGGGTAACAAACGTTTCCTGTAGCAAGGTTAAAGTCTTTCTACAGTACTTTTCCATTTAGAATTCTTTTTCCAACTCTTTCTTGCAGAATTCTTTTTGCTCAGAAATATTCTTTCACTTTATTGCAAGGGTGTCAAACTGCCAGCCTGTGGGCCGGATGCTTCATGCCGAAATTGCGTCCACCCCAGCTCTGGCAATGGGGAAAAAGTCGCAATATGTCGCAACACATCACGTGACATGGCAAGTTTGACACCCCTGCTTTATTGCATGCACTGTATATCTGAAATCTTCCCACAGCGTATCAGTAATGTTAAAATTTGAGGACGGTTAGCTGGCACACACCTGTAAGGACATAAAATATACAGAACTAGTCCACACAGTTAGTAACTAGCTGGGATCCAAAACATTATCCAAATATAAATAAAAGGCTCATTGAGCTACTGATAATCTATATTTCTTTCTATCAAATCATTAGACAGACTCTTTGATTTTTCAAAGCCTTGGTGGAAGATTACAGTTGAGTTACAAAAATAATTGCATCTCATCATAGTTTCAGCCATGGGAGGGCAATGTTTGCTTTGAATTGTATGTTGCAGTTTTGATGGCAAATCAGTTCTCACGTCTTCTATTAAGGAGGAGAGATTCTCATATGACATTGCCCAGAGCCACATTCAGCAGAGCCATAACTGATGGGGGCTTTTTCACAGGAATATGTGAGAAACTAGGTACAAATATATTTTGACCACCCTCTCTAAAGCGACATCTATCCCAGTGATGGCGAACCTTTTAGAGACCGAGTGCCGCAACCCAAAACCCACTTATTTATTGCAAAGTGCCAGGGCCGCATCAGCATTGTGGTGCCCTCAGGGAGGGGCAGCAATGCACCTCTTGGTGCCACCTTTGGCATGCAAAAGCCGGGGGCACAAAAATGGGCCACCATGCGGCAAGGGGCAAAAACGGCCGTCGCCGTGCCGTGGCATGCAGATACAAAGTGCTGCACCATACAAGAACAGGGCAGGCCTGGTGAGTATCATGCAGGCACTAGCCCTGCCCCATCTGCAGCACGTGCGTGTTTGCGGCCGTGTGCTCGCATGCACACATGTAAAATGCTTCCCCCTCTCTTTTCTTCCAGTCCACCAATCGACAATGGTTGGTGACCTCTGCTCTACCACTTCTACTCGAGCTTGCTAGTCTGCCGCTTTGCCTCCTTTGTGGTGGTGGGGGGGCTCCTGGGGGTCGGTGGCGGCCTGATGGGCCTGTGCTGGTGGCAGTGGCACGTGTGCCAACAGAGAGGTCTTTAAGCGCCGCCTTTGGCACGCGTGCCATAGGTTCGCCACCACTGATCTATCCTATAGAACTGCTATAAAGAATATTGGGAACCATTTCTTTATATTTGCTTTTATTTTCAATTTAATTCTCCCCCCCCCATTCTTGTACATTTTAGCTTTTTCTCTGTTCCTTTTCTTTTTTTCATTCTTTACTTTCTATTAGTCTGTGTTAGCTTTTATCTTCTTGTTTAAAAGTTTTTAGTAACAATTATATATGTATATTTTAAAAAAGGAATATGTCAAAAACAAATGCACGTGGCATCTGCCTTACAGGTTAGTTATGCCATTTTTTTAAATTTATTGTCCTGATGAGTCTTTTAAAATGTTCCTGCACATAATAAGTGACCTTACTTTCAGAGGAGAACCAAATCAGTGCTCAGATGGTCGACTTAAGTCAGAAGCTATGGAGAAAACTGCGGGATTTCCATTCTTTTTAGAATAATGGATACTTTTTCCTGGGTACTCAAAACAAAACCACCCCTCTCTCCTACTATTAAACTTATCTTTCGGTAAAGTAGCTGCCATAGAGGGCTTGGCACAAAACACTGATCTAGTACAGGGCTCTCCAAACTTGACAACTTTAAGACTTATGGACTTCCACTCCCAGAATTCCTCAACCAGCCATGCTGGCTAGGGAATTCTGAGAGCTGAAGTCCACAAGTCTTAAAGTTGCCAAGTTTTGAGATTCCCGATTTAGCAGAAAGCAAAGTAATGAAATAATTTTCTTTCCTCCTCTTCAACATTGCAGAGTCCTATCAACCCTTCAACTTGCTTTTGTCTTTTCCTGGCCAGAAGGGCACAAGATAGTAGTGTCTTTTCACTTTTCTTTTCTAAAAATGCTTATGCAGCTTACAAGCAATATTGGAAACGATTCTGAAGTCACACAGAGGAATGCTTGGCTTATTGGTGTCCATAAATGCTATGTGGAGGACCCCTGGAATAATGAGAAAAATGTATCTAATCAGATGTCACATATCTTCAAAATGACCCATAAACCCATCAAATTCCCACCTTTCTTTGGAATAATTTTTCAGGGGCTCCATTTAGAAGAAAAGGAGAAATTCCCATTACTTTAGTGCAGGAGTTCTCAACCATGGCAACTTTAAGATTTGTGGACTTCAACTCCCAGAATTCCTCAGCCAGCAATGGAATTTTGGGAGTTGAAGTCCACAAGTCTTAAAGTGGCCAAGGTTGAGAACCCCTGCTTTAGTGGCTTGAGGTCCCAAAACAAGAGAGTATCTTCACTTTAGAAGCAGTGGAGAAGACATTTCACGGCAAGCTACATTAGTTCCTTTCTTGTTTACTTCTGGCCAGCATCCCAGCCACATACTGGGAAGAAATTACATCAGATGTGGGAGGGAAAAGTTTTCCTTGATGCGTAGCTGGTTATGACAAGGTCTTTGGAGTACTTTAAGGACCAAACAGCTGAACAGGTGGAATATGGAAGCCTTTGCATTTGTCCTTAAACCAACAGAAGTCAACAAAGTTGTAGAATGTGCTGTAGAGCAGGGGTCTTCAAACTTGGCCCTTTTATGACTTGTGGACTTCAACTCCCAGAATTCCTCAGCCAGGCACGCTAGCTGAGGAATTCTGGGAGTTGAAGTCCACAAGTCATAAACGGGCCAAGTCTGAAGACCCCTGCTGTAGAAAAATTCCATTTCTGTAGAAGTATCCTGCAGAGCAGTCTTTCTCAGCAAATTTAAGAAGTGTGGATTTCAACTCCCAGAATTCTCTAGCCAGCATACTGGCTAGGGAATTCTGGGATTTGAAGTCTAGACATCTTAAAGTTGCCAAGTTTCAGAAACACAGCTATAGAGGGGTTGTTCCTGGTTCCTGCTCTGCTTTAATTGCCTCTGCTTTAGGTCCCTGCATATTCATGAGTTCCTCATTAGCTAATGAATGACAAGCATGTTGACATTGATTTTGAATGGTACTGGAACAAGGAGACAAACTTTATTGAGTGAGAGTGCAGCGAAGGGTCCATAAGGCTTTCTCATAGGCTAGGGGTGTCAAACTGCAGGCCCACAGGCCGGACGCATCACATGGAAACCGCGCCCATTCCATTGCCAGCAATGGCAAAACCGGCCCAATACATTGCGCGATGTCACGTGACGTTGCAAGTTTGACATGCCTGTCATAGGCTATGAAGTAGAAGGAGGCAATGTCATGTTGTCAGGGCATGTTGATATTGTGGCTAGGTGCAAATGGGAAATGACTCTATGGATGGAGCTGTCCTAGCTGTAGAGTTTGTCAGTTTTTCTCCAGGGCAGGGGTCTTCAAATTTGGCCCTTTATGGCTTGTGGACTTCAACTCCCAGAATTCCTCAGCCAGGCATGCTAGCTGAGGAATTCTGGGAGTTGAAGTCCACAAATCATAAAAGGGCCAAATTTGAAGACCCCTGCTCTAGGGTTTCATGAGGCTGCCTAATACCCTCCCCCCTGTGTGTGTGTGTGTGTGTGTGTGTGTGTGTGTGTGTGTGTGTGTTCAACAGGGTGGGGTGGGATAATCAAAGTACTATAACTGAAAGGTGGCACTTCCTCTTCCTCTGTGTCTTTGAGCAGAAAGAAGAGGTAAGACTGAGTAAATACTCTGGTAGATAACAGGAAACTGTTTCCTTTCTTTATCTGAAACATCAGGTTCACATGTTTTATAGGCAATGGAGCATGATGTATGTATCAAAGCAGAGTGGGTGAGGGACACACACATCCTCTTTCGAACACTGAAACAAAATAAATGCCAAAGACAAACCTCCAGGGTATTATACTAGTGCTTAGTGCAGGGGTCTTCAAACTTGGCCCTTTTATGACTTGTAGACTTCAACTTCCAGAATTCCTCAGCTAGCATGCCTAGTCATAAAAGGGCCAAGTTCGAAGACCCCTGGCTTAATGTATCCTCCTCTTGGTTTTTCTTAAATTTCTTAAATCTTTCCCATTTTGATATGCAACTCAATA